TCTCTTTTGGTCTGTGGTTCTACTCGACCCAAATTTGTCAATGATCTTTCAGCAAGAACTAACTCAGCGCTGCACACTGTCTTCAAAGCAGACCGTAGGGGGAACCACACTGCAAATCTGACACGTAAAATGGGAGGATGGTAAAAAATATGAAGGATGGGGTAAAGTTTAGTTTCAGTTCAAATGTGCGCTATGAATTCATAGGCCAAGGATCACCTGAGCCATGATGTACCTCTTAAATCATCTAATGGAGTTAGTAAATGTGGTTTTCATTCTCACAACATATATCTTTTTAAACTGGGTGCACATACAAGTAGCAGTATTTTAAAATATATATGGAAGATACACAGGTAGATTTAAAATCAATTCATTTAGTGGGATACTCTTCTTGTCTCTGTCACTGTGTTTGTCTTTCTAATGTTCCCATATCTTGACCTGAAAAATTCAGTGCTACCATAAGTTCTTAACATACTGCATGTCTTCACAGAGGTGAGGGAAATATAACCATGGACCAGAAATCAAGCCATCTGCCTCTATGACCCACTACACCAATCAAGAAGGTGATTCAAATTGCTAAGTATGCAAAGGAGCACTGAGTACTGATTGTTGGTAAAATTGTATAGATTCAAGATTCACAACATGTGTTTCTCAGAGGATATGGTCTAGGGCAATTTTAATGCTTTTACTCTTCCCTGCTAAAAAAAAAGAAGGGAGGGGAAGGCCAAATTCACTAAAAAAATACATTTGCACATCCAATTCTTATAGCATGTTCTAGACTGTACCAGATAATGCTTGTAGCTCAGACCCATGATTTCTAAACAAACACTTTCTGTTCCTATTTTGTAACATTTTTTGTCTGAACAGAGGACTTTGGAACAGCAGAAATTACTAATGTCACTGTATATTCCCAGAGCAGTTGAACTGTAGCTTTGTTTAAAAATCAAACATCTTATTTTTAAAACAAAACATTTTTCTTCCCTGAACAATGTCACCTATAAAGTAGAAAAGAACTCACATGGATAGGAATACTGAAGTCAGTGTGAGAGCTTGTGAGTAAATTTTGAAAATAGAAATATTAAGCTTAACTCTTAATGACATGCATCAAGACATGAAAGTTTGCTGTTTAAAATAAAATTTACTTTGGTTCCAGTTCTACTGCTGATTTTTAAATTAAAATTAAGGTAAGATAGGAAGTAAGCTGAGGTAGATATAGATAGTAGAAACGGACAGATTTTAAAAATATATACATTGGTGTGTAGGCACATATTGATATCATATATAGTGATATGAAATATCACTTAAAAACAACCCTTTGTTTCTTTTGGTTCTGTACACAAACATGTATGAAATAATAAGACTGTACTAAGTATCAAAGTATTTGACCCTGTGCAGCAAATGTAGACAGGACAACTGAATTTTGCTGCTAAACAAGAATTTTCTAGTACAGTGCTGGTCCTTTTGGAAATCATTTCATTGACTACAGTTGGAATGGAGCTATATCGTAGTAATGCAAAATAAAAAAGAATAACTAAATACCACTGAGAATAATTCACAATACACTTTACGATGCAATTTGAAAATACAACTACTCATGCTTGCTTCAATCAGAGTTTGTCAATCTAGGATTATATTGATACTACTGAAGTTAATGCAAAAAAATTATCTGCTGTTGGTTTGAATGGGCTATGCTTTTTCATTTGCAATGACCTGAAAAGTCACAGAAAATGAACACTACTTGCAAATCAATGTTTCCTTGAAATCTCAACTATTACACCCAAGTTCAGGAGTACGTCATCTGGGATTGGCACACACAGTAAGATAAACTGAAAATATGATAGGATACAGCTTCCTTAAGTTACACTAACAACTACTTGGGATTCTCTCCCAGGATATTTAAAATTTTAAATGTAAGTAAACTTCAGGTTTAAATATTTGTACTCAAGAAATATTACAGGTTAGTGGTAATGGCTTAAATGAGAGTTATGTGGGGAAAATGTTTTTAGCATAATGAATTCCTCTAATCTACAGAAGAAATATAGCTTAGGAATTGCTTGAGTAAATCAGGTAGTATCCTCGAATTTCTAAGCCCTCTTTTTCCTACAGTGCACATTATTAATCAGGCAGTTTTTTCCCCGCCTCCCCATACCTAGTGCATATCAATTCTGGGCTCAGAACAAATTCAAGAGAAACGCAAACAGTTCTTCTTTCATGGTAAAGCAAAACTTGGTCAGTTGTAAAGATATTGGAACAAAAAAATATTCATGGTTTTATTTTTTTATATTTTTTTTCAATTTATTAATAATCTTTTATATATATTTATTTATGGCTTTGAGCAAAGACAAAAGAAAAATCTAACTCATCCCTGATCATACAGTTATTGTAAGAATCAGCTCTACAGTCTTCCCAGCATCAGTAAGATCCAACCTTTTTCATTAATACATTTCATCCTGTACAGACATGAGATTTCATACTTATGGGCTTACTTATGTACAGAGAAAATAGGTCAGTTCTGAAACTAGCAATGGACCTTTATATTACAGGAATGTGAGTCATTTGTTTCTTAATCTAAGTATATGTACATTCATACATACATATATATATACGTATATAATTTTATACCCTGTACCATTTTTTTAAATTAACATACAAATCCTAGATATTGTCCACTCTATTACAAAGTCATTAAAAATTATTTATGGTTTCACTGAAAGACCATGTGAATTAATATTTCTTTATAGTGCTTAAAATAAAATAAAAATATATATAAAAATATTTCGCTACTAACCCCATTTCTCCTATCAAATGTAAACCTTAAACAGTTTGAAAGATCAGTATATGATCTTAATTAGCTGACAGAATTTGTTAGTATTAAAATAATATAAGGGGTATTGTACTGATAAATAAATGGTCTTGCAGCGTATCCATAATGTTCTAAACACTTTTAAACAATCATTTCCCCATATACTACTCTGGGCCACTTAAATTAATGGCAACAGTGTGTTAATGGGTTAATTACATTGATTTTTACCGGTGAGTGGGAGTCAGCAAAAACTGGAAGGTTTTTTCAGATTTTTATTTGATGTACCACTTTAGTAAAAGGCATAACAGGCAGCATGGGTTCAAGCTCTGTTAACTTTAGAATATTTACTTGGCTCTCAAGTACATCTGGATTCACTGCATTATGTAGTTTGTGATGTTATTTAATTTTTCCATGCATCATTAAACTCAGCATTAATGGGAAAAGAAGAACTCCTTTGCATTCACTTCCTTAACATGAGTCAGCTGGGTTTTAAGGAACAGAATATATGCTTGTATCACATCCATAATGCTGATTTTTCAATGAGTTAAATTATGACACATTTAGTTTCAGTCTCTATTTAATGTGACAAATCAGGCACAAATGATTACGAAAGAACTTTTTTTTTTTTTGTGGATAAGATAACATGAAGGTTTGAGCAAACAAAACAAAACATTCACAAAACAGTATGCTTTAACCCTGCTTTCTGTCACCGTTTCCTTTCTGTTTTGAAGACATAAAAAATAATAAACCTCATACCTATGGGCTATGTTTGACACTACATGCCTTAGGATATACTAACCATTTAATTACAATATACACAGAGCAAATCGTGCATTTCCAGACAGACTTGATGCTATATTATATTTATTTTTGTAAATTAACACCACAGTCAACTACAAAACTACAGTGAAGACACAGAAAGCACCTGAAAGCCTAAATCAAGCTGTGGTTTACGAATAATCTTTTAAATGAAAAACCTCACTTCTAGACTTAAACCAGAGATTCAAAGTCAGCATTATAGGAATTTTAAGGTAGACACAATTAACGAATGGTTATTATTTTCTAAGATACCATAAAGCCTTTTCCTACAATGGCTGACCGAACCTATTTTTAGTCATCTTTTTTTTTTTTTTTCTTTTTTTCCAAAGCATGCATGGAATATTCTCAGATGCTATTGAGGGCAAGGAGAAGAAAAGTGATGGTATTGGTGAAGTACAAGCGGTTTGCAGGATCAAGCGTACAATTTTGCATAAAACATTGCATGTAAAAGTAACATTGTAGGTTTTAAGCCATTGCATTACAATTTAACAGTTGTGTTGCACTTAGCTTTAACAAATTTTAAAACTGTAACTTTTGAAGTGAAGAGCAGAACCTAAATTCCTAAACAAAGACCTTGCAATGGTACACCACACAGCAGCTATTTTTGTTTGGGTCTAAAAAGTTATTTACAATGGCAATATTTATAGTCTTTGTAAAAGTCTTTAGCAATGTGAAGATCGAAGTCCACCCAGTTTTCTGAAACAACAGAAGGGTTGACATGTTGTGAGGTTACAACCTATCCAGAGGAGTGCTAGTGCCAGCCTTTTGACTGCAGGTGTTTGCAACTTATTTCTTTTCCAATCTAATTCCCAACAGAAAGTGCTAACATATGAAATGCAATGGGAAATAACAACTGAACTCTTCACGAGAAATTAACAATGTGTGTGCAATAAATGAAATAACAAAGGTTTCAGAACATGACTTGGTCAGTGCTATGTGTTAGTTAGATTGAAACTGCTCTTTCTTTTTTTTTTTTTCTTTAATAGACTTGTTTGAAGTTTGTTATTGTGTTGATAATTTTCCCATGAAAACAGCAAACCTCATAAAGAGAGAAATCTGTCAGACTGATTTTGAAGTCGACATGTTCAAAGTAATTAATATTACAGCTGAATTTAGACTTCTTTAATGGTTTCAGGAAAGGAAGACATGAATTCAAACAAGTTTTTTTAATTCCGGGGTGTTTTTTTGATATATATATATGTTTTTTATATATATATATGTATATATATATATATAAATTTTTACATTCGTTACGTAGGGCAAAGCTGTCTAAAGAATTTTTCTCATAGTAGACTGCTGGGGTACATTAGGAAACAGGCTAAAACAGTTCCGGGGACGGTGCTCAGTTTGTTACAAGTCTGTTGCTCCCAGCTACCGGGGATCATAAGTTTGACGCAAACCGCGGTTTGTCTCCCTCGGGCTCTGTGCTTAAGACTGTAGAAGAATCCCTTGGCAGGGGGGCCGGGGGCGGCGCGGCCCCCCGGTTGGGGGGGATGGCTCCCGAGGACATCTGTCGGAAAAGCGAGACCCGCTGGGGGACGGTGGCCCGGCCGGCCGGGGGCACGCTGGGGCCGGGGGCGGGCTGCGGGAGGGAGGCGAGGGACTCCCCCACGGTGGGGTGAGGCCTGGCGATCAGGGTGGAGATCTCGTGGGGCAGGGACGGCTGCGAGGCGGAGAGGGGCCGCACCTCCCGCGTCAGGTTGGTGTTGTGGAGGGCCTGGGTGCTCTTGTGGACCTCGCTCTTCTGCGCGGCCCCCGGGGGCTGCTGGGGCACCTGCGGCTGCTGCTGCATGAGGGAGAGCTGCGAGGCGGTCGGCGAGGCGTACTGGAAAGTTCGGCCGGCCAGAGGGCTCTGTACGGGTGGGCTGCAGACGGCAGTGGTGTAGGAGCAGGGCGAGAGGATGGCAGCCTGCTGGGCTGTCTGCGTGCTGGGCGAGGGGGAGTGCAGGCTTCCGTGGGACAGGCTGCCGGCGGTGTAGACGGGAGGGGACTGCGTCCTGACGCGCGACGCTGAGGCCGAGGTGCTGGAGTTCAGAGCGGGCACCTGCTGCAAGCTCGCCGGGGCGATGGTCTGCACCATCTCCCTGTCGTGCTTGACGATCTGCTTCAGGATCTCATTCTCCTGGTTGTTGAAAACCCCGGTGTTGAGGTCCTTCTGGAACTTCTGCAGGAGGATCGAGTTCTTCTTCCCTTCACAGAGAGGCAGAAGGGTTAGCGAGCCTGACACGCAGGGGCAGAGCCCCGCTCTGACTGTGCGCTTCAGCACCCCTGACCGAGGGCCGCACATCGGGAAAGCCTCAGCAAACCCTGGGCTGAGCAGGGGCCGCAGCTCGGCGGTGAGGCCCACACCGGGCACCGCCACAGCGACCCAGGCTGGCAGGCCGCTCCCAACGGCTGGCCTCCGCACACAGCCGGTCCCCCCCCTCTCTGCACCAGCACGGCGGGCTTTCGCAACACCACTGCGCTCAAAGGCACCTCGTCTTTCTGCGCCCCTTCGCTTGTAGCGTACTGCTGTTACTACAGTTGCTCTGGAAACGTAACCACGGTCATCTACGCGAGAACGGGGTGGAAAAAGCCATCGGGCTCTGCGTCTGTCACGTCTTTCTCTCTCGTTGCAAAACTGTCCTAATTTCCACCAAACCGTTACATAAGTTATAAATACACCTGCCGTTTAGCACACTCCCTGGAACTAATTATTAGACACTAGTAACCAGTGACCACTAGCTTGCAAGAAATCATCTTTTTAAATGTTTGTGAACTAATACGAACTCGCAGGTAACGTCACACCTGCTTACACAATAAAGGCTGCTGTACACTGTGTCCTGATGCCTGCTTGAGCTCTCAGCGTCTGCAAGGCGTAGACACTATTCTGTGTCATCAGACACACAGGAACACAATTGCACTCAGTTGTTTCTGGTTTTGAGAAAACACAGCACTTCAGACGGGACTGCTGCTCCAAGAGCAGACTGCACTTTACTGCTAATATGATTTGAGCACACATTACTTAGACGTGAACTACATTTCCTGAGAGTCTTGAGAGACAAACTGTAAGAGTTTGAAAAGACTTGATAATATAAATTAACGCACTGGGTGCTCACAATCTGCAGAATACTAAAACAGGTCTATACCTGTATTTCACTTTTTTACTCTTGCTATATGAAAGAAAACACGCTTTCTTCCAAATCACATCTTCAGCTTAGAATAGACAGCACAACGACACTGCCCTGCAATTCTTTCTGTATTCGCTTTGAAGAAACTGCAGACATAACTGTATTGAGAAAGAGTGATGTGGAGGAATCCTTTACACTGGAGTTTTCTTGTGAAGTTGAGGAAACACCACCAAACAGGATAAATGATTTTTTTTATGCACAGCTGCATTTTAAAACCAGTGTCAATAATGATGATCAGAGTGCAATTCTCCCAACCAAAGACCACGTATTTTATCTAGTATGTCCTATTTGAGAGGTCCAAATGTCTGGATGCAGAACAGCAGACTTCGCACACCCTGTTTTGATAATCTGCCATATCCTTCTGCCTTTCACTTGGATATTGTTGGCCTGCTTTTCTGATTGCAAGCAGATCTGAGTAATGCCAGTATGCAGCCATCAATGCTAGCAGTGCCCATGTTGCGAGGAAAATGAGAGCCCTGCTGCAAAGGATTAATTCACTTCAACAAACACGGGTTTTGTGAGTGCTGAGAGGCTTCAGCTCTTCCCAGCATTATGGATGTCATCTGTAAACAACTTATGTAGGAAAATGTCATCTACTGCTCATGAAACAGCAAAAGCCCTATCAAGTGCTGAGGGCAGCAGAAGAAATACACAGGATTAATAAATAATACTAATGATAATTAAAGTATATAAAATAATCCTCAGAGGAGTATGAGAGCTTTCTAAAACTCAAAGACTTTTATTATTTAAAAGTCAGATTGCAGAATTTCTTGTCTGGACACATGTCTTATTCATAGATCAACAGAACATTTACTGCAGTGTAACAGAAACAAAACTTTTAAGAAGTGTTTATTTGAGGCATTTTTGTCCTGCAACTCAAGGAAAAGAAAAGGTAGAAAGATTTTAAGAATTCCTAATATGGGAAAAAAAATTATACCTATCCTGTCAAGTCTATCAATTGCCACCGTTTCAAAGGCCCTTCTCATCATGGGGTACTCTTCCAGAACCTCGTTGAAATTGTCCACTGAGAGGGAATACAGGCGACAGTACGTGTCTGCTCGTACGCTGGCAGTTCGACGGCCCTTGGTCAAAAGGCAAATCTCTGGGGAGAGAAAGATTCAACACACACAGAAAACAAAGAAGTTAGTGAACCATGTGAAAGTTAAAAGCTAGGAAGTGACTCGGTGCTAATAAGTATTAATTCAGTACTCAGCCGTAATTTTTCTATTGCAAGGTTGCAGGGACAATTCTGAAGGTGTTTGATTCTATTTTTGCTACTCTGAAAAAGTAACTAATGTCCTTTAAGACCCCTGCTTATAGGTTTTCTCAGTCTGGACTCTGATTTTATCAAGCCTTTTTAAAAAAAATTCTTCAGGTTGTAAGAAAGGATTCATCAGCTGTCAAACACAGCTTGCTGACTCAATTAACCCAAGTGATTCTATTGATTTTTTAAAAAATATCCAGCTGACATAAAGGACCAATTTCTTTAATCATTCACCAGATTTACTTAACTAACTTAATACATGATATAATGATATTTGAATATAAGAGCTGTTCTAGGAAAAAATGCTTCAAGCATGAAAATGCCTTCTGTTTCTTTGGGTTTTATGTCCTAGGGATTTTGGGAGAGTAAACATGATTTTAGACTTTTTTTCTCATTGGGCTAAAACCCAGAACCCTTTTAACCTCTGCTTACTCTATTTGATTAGTCTAGTAGCCTTTCTCTGCAAGTGCCTCCAGCATGAATTCATCATTCTGGAACAGAGGAGACCAAAGCCATATGCAGAGTCTCAAGAAACAGCCCCAAACTTCCAACTGCTGATTCTTGAATCCACAGGAAGAGGGTTACTGGATAAATGCCAAAGTCAATGTCCAAGGCTAGTAACAGTAAAACATATGGGGAAGAATATTTATTTATTTTAAAATACAAAAAAATTAAAAAGTCTATTGCAAAAAGAAATGCTTGAGTTGGCCCCATTTTCTGGGGAAATCAAGCTGGGGAATAAGAAATATCTTAGAGATATCAACAACTGTTGGGCTCAGCCAGGGTGAGAAATAGTTTCCCTACCCAGTTCTAGCAGTCAAGAGCAGTAAGTTCATATTGGTTCATATTTAAGTACTGGCTAGGAAACTGTCTCCTACCCTGCTTGTGTGTCTATCACAATCATTCTCAATCTCAATCAAATTATCATTCTCAAGTGTGGAAAACCAAATATTCTTCATTAACAAAAATAAAGAATTCAGCAGGCTTTATATCAGATCTATAAAGTGCTAGCATAGTTCCTTCTTTTTTTGTATGTCTTTAACAAAATATTTTTTTTATTGATCTAGAATGTAAAGAGCCTTGATGGTTTTTCGTCTCATACTTCTTGTTGAAGAATTTCCACATGCCACCTAACCCTGAAGGCTTAGGGGCTAAGATGCTTAAATAATAGTGGATAAATCAAAGCAAATTAACATGAGGCCAGTACTAGCACAAAATGTACTTAAAGTCCAACAGCTTTGGGGAGAATTTATAGCGACTAATGGATATGGAAAGAGTCTTCACCTAATGTCCCTCACAAAACTTGATGCCCATGAAGTAATGACAGTTTATTGTAAAGAGCCAGCCAGGTCAAAGAGAAGTCAGTCCTTTCCTCTTCTATTCCCTAGCTCACCCTGACCCCTTCTCCTTTTATTGAACCCACTGCATTTTAGTTACAAGAGTGAGAAGGACATTTTGCCCAAAGGGAGCAGTTAAATGCAGTGAAATGCCTGCTCCATTTCCTAAAATATTCTTTAGATCTCACACAGAATAAAGTTTTACAATACATGGCTGAATTTAGAGATAACTTAACTAGCTAGAAAATCTGGGTGACTAATGATCACCTCTTGATTTGCAGCTTTCTTCACTTAAAATTGCTGCAAATAATACTAGAGACATAAGGAGATGTCTTCTGCTACACGCAACAAATCTTATTGAGTACTTGAGTTTAGAAAACATCACATGCCCCAAACAAAACAAATGTTGACTATGGATCCCAACCATTCTGAAAAGTGTTAAAAAAAATGGAGGAAGTACTGTGTTCATCATTATTAATCTCTAACACTGGTTTTAGACTACTTTAACAAGAACGATGGGAAGAAACCATAAGAGACAATGTTAGACTTCATCACAGGACAATGGGACCATGGAATTCATGGATATTACTGCAATAAATAGAATTATTTTTTCCCCTTCTTTCATCTTTTATTATTCTTGTCAAGTAAGGGGAATGGAAAGAATCACTGAAAGCTATACATTTTATTCTGCAAACCTTGTCAGTCCACAACTTCTGGTTGAAGAACACCTTTTTGGAAGGCTCTTAATAACCATAATAGAGTCTTCTAGTTAGATAAGATAATAAAGGATGGATCAGAAAAGGTATGCCAAATCTCCCAGCACTTAGAAACTGATCAGGGAGTGCCACCGTGGAGCTTGTCTGCTCAGGAAGCAGGGAAAGCTTCATGTTCTCAGCTCCAGTTGAACGGTCTCATTCAAAAGATGAACTACAGCCTTCTGACAGGAAAAGTAGCATGTGATGAATACCCATGTAATGCATTTCCAGCAATGTTTCTTGAGTGATTGGAGTTGTATTATAGTCACTGATACATCATCTATATTGCTTTGTTATATATATCAACAGCATCATTTTTACTGTGGCGACAAGACTAATGTGCTTTTTAATTGTATGTGTTCTGTATTTAAGTTCATAACATCTATTGCCTATTTGTTTGGAACAAACTCTCAAACATAGTAAGACATAATATATGAAATCTCATTTACCTGGACCGGACAGGAAGAACACAGAATGTCAAAATGTGTTCCCATCAAACACTTGTGTTCTTCTAAATAAATCAAAGTTGTTTTGTTTTGTTATTTTTAACAAATAAATAAACAATAGACTTCATGAAAAGAACATATTTAAAATGAGTCTTAGTGGCATCAAGTACCCCAGGTGCCCTCAACAATTATGCTCTCCTTCAATTCATTTAAAAAGACTATGAAATACAAACAACAGCACAGGAGTGTGCAGTAAAACACAAAGGGCACAGACTATTTTCAAACAGCTTGAACAAACAAGGTTCTCTATTAGCATAAAAAGAAGGCAGTGGCAGCATATTATTCACTAATATTCCCATCTGTGGTTGGCATGGTGCAATGCCTTCATGCTGACACTTTCAAAGTGTCAAATACTTCTATCTTTCCTTTCCAAACAAAAGAATGTCTTCAATTCCAATTAATAATTATGAATTAGGCTACAATGAACCTGTAATTCAACTCTTAATGCAAATTTTACTTTAACTATTTAATCTCTTTAGACAACTGTTCCCTAGAACATTCTGAAACAAATGTCAATCACTGCACTAATGAAAAATGACTCTCTGAAAGCACTAAACGATGTTAAAAACATTCATTTGTTCTTGCAGTCCATATTTAATACAATGTAATACATTTGGCTGTGAAAATCACAATTTGTGTTCTCCTAGCATCAGATCTTTCCCACAGAACAATGCAGCTCTCAAAAGAACATGGACAAGGGCTCAAATATAATGTACTTTCTGCTGTCAAGACATTGACTAAAAAGTGCGATGATAAAAGTTTAAGGCTAAGTGTGTTCTGAAGTTTATAACTGTAATAATCAAAACTGATCACCAATATATCAGTTGCACACATAAATGGGACATAGTTTAGTGGTGGACTTGGCAGTGTTATGTTAGTGGTTGGACTCAATGATCTTAAAGGTCTTTTCCAACCTAAACGATTCTATGATTCTACGACTCTATGGCAGTATTTCAGCAAGAGCACCAGGTTCAGTTTTTGGAACACCATGAATTTCTAAAGAAGCTTGCCCATAACTGTATCTCGTAAAACACTGAATGTGTAGATCATATTTTATTATTGCATTAGTGTGGCAGAACACTCTGGATAGGAAATTTTACATACCTGAAAGACAGCACTAAGGAAGACTGATTTTGGGAAAACCTGAATGAGTTAAAGTGAACGACACAGCCCATAGGATGACCTTTAAAGAATTAGGATTAGTAGGCCTTTTGTAAGGGCTACAGTTTTGGTTCCAACTGAGATCAAGTTCATTGTTCTTGTAGATTGTATTGATATGCCACTGCAGGTAATAATTTTCTCCTCCCTTGTTGCTATGTGATTCCAAAATGTTTTTTTCCTCAAGAAAATAACTGCTTTGGATGTGGGAGCAGTTCACCTCTAGCATCATTTGTGATATTCCATTTCTTTCTTGTCTTTGCTGGATGTGTACGTGGATTAGCTATCCTAGCAGTAAATTCCTGTTTCCACTTTGTATAGACCTAGGAAAAACTCTTTTTTACTCCCAGAAGCTGTACAGTTTATCTGACAGTCTAGCACCTATCCATTAACCGTCAGTTCATTTTCCATATAAATTATACTCCAGATGTAATTACTCTACTTTCTATGCCACATTAACATTTGAGCAGAGATTTAAAAACTTCAAAAATCAAAATAACAATATAAAGTTGCCTTGCAGATGAAATGTGCCCACCAACTGATAAACTGTTGATAAAGGAAACAGTTATGAGTCCAGGAGTTAGCTAGTTCCTTAAAGGACACTAAACTGGTCCTGTCTCCATGGAACATATTTCTTAGATTAAGATGGTGTATAGTAATATGTAGAAAATTAACATAATTAATTATTATCATATGCAGCTTTGTTTTACAAGGACACAAAGACCAGAATTAAAGCAAAAGTTCACTTTACTAGGTGCAGGAATTAATTTTTTGTAGTAATGAATAAATGAGTTAACTAGTGTCTTAGTCATATAGTACTCTCCATATTAAAAATAAGAAAAAATAATTAGCAGTTTCTATGCATTTCTGAACTACAGCAGCTTATTAAGTGCTCTGTCCCCTTCCAAAGCTGTAAGAGGTTTCCCATCATCTGTCAGATTTAACATTACAGGATCTAATGAAGTGTCCTTCCAGCTGAGGACAGCTGACTATTGCTTCAGTTCCTCAGCAGGAAACTTATTTCATCTTGTAGCAGGCATATACATTGCTGTGCAAATGGGCAAGCATTTATTCAGACCATC